ATGGGCCTGCTTCTGTGACTGCCAAGCTGTGACGGGACAGATTCTGATGGCTCACTGCGGCCTTTCATTCTTCACAGTGACGAGGTCTTGGCCAAAGAGTTTTGGGGAAAGCTGCCTGGTTAAAAGTCACAAGAGATGGTACTCCTCCTTGGTGACCTTTTCAGAGGGTCCACTAAGACAGCAACTGTACAAAACAGCTCACATGGATGTCAGGGGCCACAGTGGCTTGGTCCCTCTTCCAGTTAGTGACCTGTGAAATCAGAGGTTTGAATGGAAGCAGCCTTGATAGAGGGGTGTAATGCATTCACTGCTGCTTGCACGGATTGGTGGGTCACTCTGCCCATGAATGAGCCCATTTGTCATAGAAACAATGCAGCCATGTAGACCATCAAAGAATGATGTAGCTACGGCCTCTGCTAGAAGTAGAACACTCCAATTCAGCCAAGTATGCAAGTCCTCAAAAACATAGTAAAATATGTAAAAAAAAAAAAAAAAAAAAAAAAGAAAGAAAGAAAAGAAAAAAGAAAAAGAAAGCCTTTAACATTGTAGGATCTTGAAGGTTTCTTCAATGATGGAACTGGTCTCTGCTACCAATGATAGACGATTTTTTTCTCCCAAGATTTATTTATTTCTATTGAATAGGCAGATTTACAGAGAGGACAGAGAGATCTTTGATTCTCTGGTTCACTCTCCCCAGCTGGTCACAATGGTCAGAGATGAGCCGATCCAAAGCCAGGAGCCAGGAGCTTCTTCTGAATCTCCCACAGATGCAGGCTCCCAAGACTTTAGGTCATCCTCTACTGCTTTCCAGGCCACAAGCAGGGAGCTGGATGGGAAGTGGAGCAGCCAGGACATGAACCAGTGTCCACATGGGTTTCTGGTGCTTGCAAGGTGAGAATTTAGCCACTGAGCTATCGTGCTGGGCCCCAGGCAATTCCACTTTCTAGGCCTCATAGATGACATGTATATTAAGAGGTTAGGCTAAGCATGGTGTTTACAGGGAGAGCATCTAGGGTGGGGAGGTGATGGGTTATGATTAGGACTGGACTAAAGGCATCAAAGTGGATGAGCCCCAGCTGAATGCTGATGCTTAAAGGAAAGAGATCACCCCCTTTCATCACAATCACCCTTGAATCCCCAAAACTGTGAACTACTTAAACTAGATTTCTTTCTATGCTAGGCAGCCTAAACAGGAAATCGGCCAACAGTTAGCCGTGACTCTCTGGCAATCACGGTGTGTGCTTCAGTTCCTAGGAAAAAAACTTACTAAACCTTGCTATCTTACCTTGTTTACCATTGGGGAGGCACAGGAAATAAGAAGAAAAAAAGAAAACAATTCTCAATATAATAATTAAATGAACACATTTCACTTTGCGGTTATTTAACCATGTTTACTCTCTTCTTGCATAATATGCAGCCGGTACTGTTTTGCCTGGTTCCTTGCAAACACTCTCATAAGTCCTTCAAAGCTTACAGAGCAGAGGTGTGATGGCACTAGCTAAATTCTAGCAGACAAAATGGAAGGGAGTCACACAGATGTGGGATCTAAGGAGGAGGACAAAGGAGGGCCAGATGCCAGGTGCAGTTGGCACTTAAGGCAGCCTGAGTTGGAGCTTTCCAGGTGGTAAGCCACGCCCCATTTCAAATCAGATGTGCGCCTCTCCCAACTTACCTTGACAATAGTAACGCTTCCACATCCCTGGATGGAGTAGGAAGAGGCAGCTGCCTCCACCACTTCCCTTTGGACCACACGTGCTCACAACGTGCACCCTGCAGCCCAGATGGCCACCGTGTGTCTATCAGGGTTGGGGAAGTTCGGAGAACAGACACATCCGGTCATCACAGGTGTCATTCCTGGGCTGGTCCGTTATCTTCTGTTCTTAAGCCAGCCCCTGATTTCTATACATTCACCTACCTTCATCTGTTTGAATAAATTACTTCCCAAACTGCCCCAGAGGGAGATTAGCAATAAACTGATCTAAGTAGTTCTACATGTAAGGTTCTTCCAAGTTTAAAGGGTTGGGAATGGGGAGGAAATGAAGAAGAATGAATGATGAAACTCAGAAATTCAAAATTGTTGAAAGAAAGAAAGAAAGAAAGAAAAGAAAAGAAAACAAGAAAAAACCACTTACGATGTTTTAGAGCAGTTTCCGTCCCCAAGGGCTGTGTTTAGGTTTGGGGACCAAATTATCTACCAGGTATGGGTGACGACAGATGACCCCAACAAAATGACAGCCTATATTTGCTTGACTAAAGGAGTGATGTGCCGTGGCCTCTGTCGTTGCCCGACCTTGGTAAACTGTTCAACTCAAATACATTCTCACATATGGCTGATTAGCATAGGGGAAGGCCTGGCTTGCCTGTTGACATTCCCATTAATACTGAGTCACTTGTAGGGTCTCTAAATGCAAGTTACCTCTGTTCCTTAAGGAGATGCAGGCTGGGACATGACTCAAGTACTACATTCCAAATCACCTCTGCCTAATCAGAGCCACGCCCTTAAACCTGCCTGGATCATCAACCCAATGCCAACAGGTAAGGCAATGGAACCCCACATTCCGATCTCCACACCCTTCACCAAAGCCCCCAGCAAGCCATTTCTTCAGCCGGCCCTGATTTCCCTCCCCCAGCTAAGGCACTGCCAAATCTCTGCAGTCTGTGTTTCCCCAATGCTTTAGGGCCCTTTCCAATCTACATTGCTTATTTCCTTCTCTGCCCTCAGTACCCTCAACTCTTCCACTCAGGAACTGCCACACATGGGGCTTCCTAGCATTAAGCCCTGAGGGAAGCATCCACATCATGGTCTCACACTGGGAGGCATGTTGCTTAGGACAAGCACCATGGTGCGACCTAGGTCTGTTTCAGACTTTTTAGGTAAGAACTGTCATCGGATTGTCTTTCACTGCTTTGTTATCAGTGATGATGCAAAAACAATGCAAATCAGAATCTTCAAGGATTACCTGCCCTGTGAGGACAACCTGGAGTCAGCAGGTGGCTCTGTGGTCTTTTCCAACAGCTTTGGTGAGTCATCCGAGCATAGCTGACGTGTGTTAAAGGCAGAAGTGGGGCTTGGAAGATGGCACCAAGGCAGACGATGACTCTGCCATGGCATTCACCAGGGATCTGCCTACAAAATTCATTTGTCCCACTGGCACAAGAGTAGTCTGTCAGCAGAGAAGAACAAACAGCACAAGTCAGAAAATCAAGCATCAAGAGGCCGGAATCCCTCACCAACCATCTCAAACTGTAGCCGGACCACACAGAAGCAGAGCTGGGAAAGAGGTTGAGCTTACAAGAGTTGAATGCATCTGTCACTACCACAAGTTGTATTAACCAACAAAAAGGGGTGACTTGTGGCCAAGGAATAGTATGGCATGTCTCTCTCTCTTGGGAATTGAAGATAGGACTGGGAGCAGGCTGTTAAAATAATAGATCTGTCCCCTCTTTCAGCAATATCATCACCCACCTACTACCAGCCAGATGTTCCCATGCCTGAAACAGCTGTGCCAGATGGAGGGTTGGAACCTTATCAGATATGGCCAGGCTTGCAGCAGACAACAGCACGTGGCCTCTCTTGCCTGCAACAATCTGCCTGGCCTCTCCCTGCCACTCTAACTTTACCCACAGTGCCATTTCCAGAGCTGGTACTAAAGGACAGTGAAGGCCTCCAACAGTATTTGGCACGTCCAAAGCAATGTGAACCTTTAGTTATGGATTCAAGGATCTCAGCGACCCTAAGACTGTTGTATGTACAGCAGACCATCCAAGACGGCTACCCACAGTCCCCAGTCCCTGATACCTCAACAAAATCTAGGAATTCCTACCATGAGCACCTCAGAAGAGAGGGAGATTATCCAGAAGACACAACTGCTATGCGAACCAGTTAAAAGCAATGGTTTCCCAGAGGGCATCATAAGGGGAAGTCAGACTTAAAGTAGGAAAAGGAATCAAGGCACCATTGCTGGGCTGACAAGATGCAGGGAACCAAGTGAACGGCAACGCGGGCATCATCTCCACACTGAAAACAGGGACACGGAAACATCAGTCCTAGGACAGTTTTGTCAACAACCCCAATGAGCTGGAAGCATGTTCTTTTCCATAGCCTTCAGATGTCAGCCCAGACAAGCTGACACCTCGACACCAACCTTCTATGACTCTGAGCAGACAATCCCAGTTCCTCCTGGACTTCTGACAGAACTGCGGAGTGATTCACGGATATTGTTTCAGGCTGCTACGGTTGTGGTCATCGATTTTGCACCAAGGCAGACATAAACCCTCCATGGTTCCCAGTGGCCTGGCTTTCCTGTGCATGCGCTAACTCCAAATCCTCTCATAACCCCCCCACTCACCAGAGCACAGCCTTTTCTGCCCACCTCCCCATCAGTGGGTGGGAAAAGGTATCAAAAGGGATTGATGAGGCAGGCCTCTCCTTACTTTCAAAGCCTACCCAAGGCGAGAGACACCGTCTAGAACCCTGGCACATCGAAGCACAGTCCCCTCCTAACAACTCCAACCCCATTCACACAGTAAGTGCGGACTCCACCAGTTGGTGGGGCAACCACCTGAGCAGGCCTTTCTCAGAACTGTGCTTGCAGTAGACAATCTCGAAAAGTGAAAGAGGTGAGTCATCCAGCACCCATGGTCCTAGGCTGTGCCACAAATCCATGGCATGAATGGTACCCCATGTCCACCATGGGACCTGGGAACAGGAAATACCAATGCAACACAGAGTTCATGCCTTGCTAAGCTCTGCCTCTGTGCCAGGACTCCTATGCTTTCTGCTGGCATCTGGAAAAACAATAATAATCTAACTTCTTACTTTGACGTGGGTAAAAATCTCAGTACCTAACAGTACTGAATTTCTATCTTTAAATCAGAAGATCTAATATCTCTGCATTAGGAAGCTTCAAAGGAACAAAATACCTCTTTCTGAATTTTCTTGTGCAAAGAGTAAAATTTGCATCAGAGCTACTGAGAACAAAGGAAATACAGAATACACCTGGGATCTAGAAAACGTCCAGAAACTTTAATTGGATCCATATCGCCATCCCCCATCCATCCCCCATGTGTGACATCAACAGCGCAGAAGAACGGTGTCTACTCCACGACTATCCTTTCGAAAGAATTCCAGCTTCTGACACTGCACTGCGCCACTCATGAAGAGCTTCCCACACGTATTATCTCTTTTTATCTTTGTAACAGACACAGAGATGTAATAAGTTAAGTCCTTGCAGAGAGAACAGACACAGACTGCACGGATCTGGAAAATTCCCATGCGACGGAAGCCCAGGACTGCGGGCTGCGGGAGCACGCCTGTTCCCATTGGAACAACAGAGACTGCCCTGGAGGCACATTTCTCCTCCAGGAGAATCCAGGGAGCTCTTATGGTGACTGAAGAAATGGCAACCGACGCGATATGGAGACTTCTGATTTGTAGAGACTGACAGCTTCTCCTTCTGGTGGAAAATTTAAGGAAGTCCTTAATAGAAGTGATTAGCCTGTCCTGGGTGAGCACATTCCCGCTTGGTCCCTTCTGAGGTCTTGGCAGCTTGGGCCTGGTCTGCAAGCAAGGAGGTCTGATCTCACGACAGTATCATTTGAGGGTCTTGCTAAGGTTGGAGAAGCCAATGCCGACACAAGTGAGCAGTACTTTATCCCCGCCCTTGAGTTCTTCACCACAGGCCTTGGTTTCAATTTTAAACATGATTTGGAAAAAGCTCTTCAAATGCCGCAAAAATTCTATCCTAAAAGAAAACAAACAAACAAACAAAAAAAGAAGCAAACAAACAAAGAATTTATTTGAACAAACAAACCAAAATTTCCCTCTTCCACCCAAGGACCCTGATTTTGAAATCAGAATTTCTCATTAAATTGGATTAGACGGCACTCATTCACAGCCAGCTGGAGAGGATTAAGACAGCTCGTGGAGATGCATACAATATGGAAAGATTCCTTAAGCAAGAAAAACAGGTTACAGCTTAGTGGAACATCAGTCTATGCATTCAATAAAGTAGTAAGTTTTGAGTAGCCATGCGCAAACAAGAGTAACTGATGACTCAAAGTGTGAGCCAAAGATTACCAGCAGAATGATAGTTTTGAGGCCAAAATTAATAAAGCATCTCCCTGCCCTCCTCAACAATAATCTTCCATTGACTCAACAAATATTTGCTGAGTGTCTACTGTATATGCCAGGCGTTGTTCATGCAGCCAATCCCTCTTGGTGTTGCAGCCAACCAAAAAGATAAGAAAAATCATTAAAATGTCTTGCCCGCAGGAAGATTTCAATCTAGAGATATAAACAAGACCTGAAAGTTAAGCATTCTTGAAGACTACTTTGGAAATGTAAAGAAAGCCAACAGCACAGATGAGAAAGAACTGTGGACCTAGCACTTTCTGACCACCCTTCGCTCAGTGATGGCATCCTTCCAAGAGCCTCTTGGGAACGGCGATGCTCTGGACCAAGGGTGGTGGTTTACAGGCTTCCACTGGCTTGCCCTACCAACTGCGACACCCACTATCCCACTGCGACACCCAAACGGAGACACACTGCAGCTGCCAATGAGGTCGTTTCCAAATAAAAGAACCTGGGAAGGCAGAAAAAACGCACATTCAGACGGTCCCTTCCCAACTCCTACCTGGCCCCGTGCTCCCTAGCCCTTTGGAGTCAGAACTCTATCCTCAGCAAGTGTCCCCGGTAATTCTCACCAGGCAAATTTACCAATGCCAGGGAGATCAAGAATAGTCGCCTGCCCATCTGTCGATGGAGCATTACAAGAAATCAGTGTTGTGTGCCATCTCCCAGTCCAACCACCAAACTTCCTACCCCGGTAACTTCAACTGCATATGGAAACGCTCGTGGGGCATTAATGCTACTGCTCCTAGACACCAGCGCAATGGCACAGAACTGCGAGCCATGCTCTTACAGCCCACTGATACTCTGATAGGAAAAGAATAATCTTGCCAATAAATGGTGCCTCAAACAATCAGAATCAGCTATCCTCACATCAGAGAAGGAAGTTGGACTATCACCTTACCTCACACACAAAAATTAACTGAATCAAAGCCCTAACTGTAAGATATTAAAACATAAGATTTACAAAAATCAAAGGGTAAAATCTTTATTACCTTGAGTTAGAAAATAATTCTTAATGGTTATCTAAATACAACACCAAAAGCACAGCAATAAGAGAGAGAGAGAAAAAAAAAGGGGAGGCCCGGCGGCGGCATGGCCTAGCAGCTAAAGTCCTCGCCTTGCACGCCCGGGATCCCATATGGGCGTCGGTTCTAAACCCGGCAGCTCCACTTCCCTTCCGGCGCCCTGCTTGTGGCCTGGGAAAGCAGTCGAGGACGGCCCAAGGCTTTGACCCTGCACCCGTGTGGGATGCCCGGAAGAAGTTCCTGGCTCCTGGCTTCGGATCGGCATAGCATCGGCCGTTGTGCTCACTTTGGGAGTGAATCATCAGATGGAAGATCTTCCTCTCTGTCTCTCCTCCTCTCTGTATATCTGACTTTCCAATAAAAATAAAATAAAAATCTTCAAGAGGGGAAAAGAAAATAGGTAAGTGGGCCTTAAGCACAATTACTAACTTTTGTCCATCAAAACATATGAAAATGTGAAAAACCCGCGAGATGGGGGAGAAAAAAAGCTATTTGCAAGTCACACATATGATACGGGCCTGGGACACAGGACACACAGGATGTGTAAGAAATTTCTTCAAAGACACACCAATATCCAGTAAACACGAGAAGATGCTCAACATTGCTAGTCACTGAGGAGATGACAACAACTTCTGTGAGACACAATTTTATACCCAGTGGGATGGCTACATAGGAAAGCAACAGGGGTAGCAACTGAAGCCAGCGTCTGGAAAGTTGATTTCCAGCTGCTCCACTTCTGACTCAATTCCCCAGCAGTGCACCTGGGAAAGCAGTGGAAAATGGTCCAAGGTGTTCAGGCTCTTGCCACTCACGTGGGAGACCAGGATAAAGTTCCTGGTTCCTGGCTTCTACCTAGCTCTGTCCTAGCCATGTCAGCCATTTGAGGGGTGAGTCAGTGGGCGGACCATCCCCTCTGCCTCTCCCTCTCTCACCGTAGCTGTGCTTTTCAAATAAACAAATAAATCTTTAAAAAACAAATACATAAAAACAGATCATTGTGTTGGGCCCGGTGCGGTGGCGCAGTGATTAAGGTCCTCGCCTTGCACGCCCGGGATCCCATATGGGTGCCGGTTCTATCCCCACAGTCCCGCTTCCCTTCCAGCTCCCTGCCTGTGGCCCGGGAAAGCAGTCCAGGACGGCCAAAAGCTTTGGGACCCTGCACCCGCGTGGAAGACCCGGAAGAAGTTCCTGGCTTCGGATCGGCGTAGCATCGGCCCTTGCGCTCACTTGGGGAGTGAATCATTGGACGGAAGATCTTCCTCTCTGTCTTTCCTCTCTGTATATCCGCCTTTCCAATAAAAAAAAAAAAATAAATCTTTTAAAACAAAACAAAACAAAAAACACAGATCATTGTGAAGAAATGCCTACTACTGCTTATCATCAGGGAAATGTACATCAGCACCCCAATGAGATATCATTCTGATCAAATTGGTTACTCTAAAAACAGTAACGTGTTGGGTGTGTGAGAAAGGGAACTCTTTCTCATAGGTGCTGGGAAGGCCAATTAGTACAGTCATTGTGGAAAAAAAACTATAGAGAGTCCTCAAAAACCTAAAAATAGAACTTCTATATAAGGTCAAACTTTCATCAAATGGCAGGTCTCTGTCTTTCCTCCTGTGTGTATTTCTGTAACTCCTTCAGATAACATGTATTAGATGCTTCTCTATTTAAAACACGCACAAGATAGGATTCTGGATGTTTTCACTGTAAAGAAGCTACTAAATGTTTGAGGACATAGAAGTATCTACCTGCTTTAAGCGGACTTTACACAATGTATATGTGTTTGAAAATATCACACAGTACCCCATAAGTATAGTTTTTATATGTCTGTTAAAAAGACACATGACAATAAGTGTTGGCAAGGATGCAGAGAACTGAGAACCCTCATACATAGCTGCTAAAGATGAACTTTCTTCAAACATTCTGCAAGGAGTTACTGCACGACATAGTAATTCCATTCATAAGTAGGTATGCCAGGGTGACAAAACATCATGCCCCACTCAAAAATTTAAAGTTAAATTTTTTTTTTAACACCACTCTTCATATCAACCAAGAAGTAAAACTGGGGGTAGGCACAGTGGCCTAGCTGGCTAATCCTTTGCCTGTGGCACCAGCATCCTGCGTGTGCACTGGTTCAAGTTCCAGGTGCTCCACTTTGAATCCAGCTCCCCGCTTATGGCCTGGAAAAGCAGTGGAGGATGGCTCAAGTCCTTGGACTCGTGCACCCACATGGGAGACCCGGAGGAAGCTCCTGGCTTTGGATCTGCTTAGCTCTGCCCATTGCAGCAGCCACTTGCAGAGAGAACCAAAGGATAGAAGATCTCTCTGTGTGTGGTTCTCCTTCTCTCTCTAAGTGTGCCTTTCAAATAAATAAATAAATCTTTTTTAGAAAAATGGAGAGACAACCCAAATGACCACCAGTTGATGGATGGGTAAATTAAATGTGGTGTGTCAAGTACATGAAGGATTCTCCAGGCAATAAAAGGGATGGAGGCACTGACGTAACCACAGCATGGGCCAACAAGGAGACCGTTCTTGCTGGGTGATGAGCCAGTCAGTGGGAGCCATGTGCTGTGTGGCTTAATCCATCACACAAAATGGGCCATCCACCGCAGAGGTGACAGGGACCAGGCAGTGGGAGCCTGGAGCTTTGGGCTGTGGGAGGAATGCCCACTGAAAATGGGCAGGGGGCAGTTCTCTCTAAGGCAAAGAAACTGTTTTGTGACTCTGGTCAGACAACTCTATGAAGATAAAAAAAAATAATAATAATAAATGCTACACACTGTACACCGATAACCGTGTGTGCTGGCTTAAACTGGTAAACTGACATGGTGTGTGAACTGTAGCCCAATAAAACCATTTTAACAATGTGTTTGTGACCTTAATGAGGACATCCTGATGCTGGTTCCTACGCTTTCCCCGTGTTTATTAAACTCAAAGTCTCCTGCACTGAACGCTCCACCCAGCTCCCAGCCCTCAGCCCTCAAGAGCACTAAGCTAATCAGAGCAGGGACAGGACGACAGCGGGCAAGGCCAGTGCCATGCCTGCGTGGCTGATACCTTAGCTCTTGGGGCTGCGAGGTTAGTAGGGGCCATCTGGGCAGCACGCACTCGGGCCAGTGCTGCATCTCTTCCACTTCATCCTTAGAGCAGCACCCCATCTGCCAGCTCCTCAGAGCCTTTCCAACCAATCGTCCCCACCCCACGAGACGGTCCTCTCCCCTAGGGGGTCCGCATGGCCTCCTCTGCTTCTGGTAAATGCTTGGTAAATGTGATCCTCACATGGGCAAATTCTGAGCCCCTCAAGGGCAGTGACTTTCAGCATCCGGGGCCTTTATGAGGCCCTCAGGAACCATGCACTGAATCAGAGTGGGCGCTGGGCATAAACTGGAGAGACTCCGACATTCTTTGCAATGAAGGGAAGTCAGTTCTTTCTGCCTCTGCTGACTTTCCATTCTCATACACCAATCGCTCCGCTGCTGCTTTTTTTTTCTTTCCTCTCCATCTCTCCCCCTACCTCCCAGAACCTGTCTTCAGCAAAGAAGAAAAGCAAACACACCAAGCCCCTTGATAAACAGCCCACATC